GCTCGCAAAAAGCGCCTCACGTGCAAGGCAACGGCTCAGGCCGTGGACTGCATTTGACGATAAGCGGCATCAGTCATTCCCGTAGGATTTTCGGCACGGAGTAGCAGTCTTTCGGTGATCTAAGCCTTTCTGGTGGGCTGTCGAACCTCATGTATACACACCTCAAGCAAGCACAAGAAACTTGGTCATACTGTTCATAAAAAAACCTGAACTTCCCCTAACACCAGGAGGATGCCACGGCTCCACTCTTTAGGAGTTTAGGTGGCTTCATGAAAGTCACGCAGAACTGTGTTAAACGAGCGAAGTCGAGGAGCGGTTGCAGCAGCAAAGCCATCTTCTCGGCCAGGCCGACACATGTGCCGGATGCCCTCATAGTAAAACATAGTATAGCGTAGTATAATATAGTATCGTACATTATATTATAGTGTAGTATAGTATAGTATAGTAAAGTATAGTATAATATAGTAGTACAGTATAGTAATGAACTAGATTGGGTTTAGGCTGCTTAGGTTGGGGGTCGGGTCGCCATGTCTTGCGGTCTGCAGCAATCGCAGGCATTCCTGACCATCTACGAGGAGACAGATCCTGAATATCCTCCTTACCTGAAGAATCTCTCATCTGAGCGGGGCGCACAGAGCGAGCGGGGGCACACAGAGCGAGGAATTTGAAGTAAGGTGTGTTGTGCTGGATGGCATTCAGCCATAAGGACTGAGATGGACTTCCGCAGGCATGCCATCACTGCGCCTCGGCACAGCTTGCCAGTGCCGCACAGGGCTGCACCAGGTCTGAAACCTCACTGTTTACGAGTGGGTGAACTTGGGTGAACGATTGCGTTTTTGAAGGGCGCCCTGCAAGCTTCTGTTTCTCTCGGGGAGTTGCTTTGCCGCATTTGGCCCCTGAGGTGCAGGACTGCATTCACCGGCTAGTGCAACATTGCCAAGACGCTCAGCCAACGAACGCTGGGGTTTGGCAGCCCGATGCCTCGTCTCGGCTCCGGGTAGTTATGCCTGTGAGAACAGTATGTGTATCGTAGCCTGGCTGTGCCGCGTGTGACGGTCGAGACCGCAACACCAAAACATCTCCCAACAAGACAGACCAAACATGGACCTCAGAAGTCGAGGCGAGGCCAACTTGACGGACCTTCCCAGTCTTCGACGCACCATGAGGCGGCCCTTGCTCAACAGCCACAGCCCGCTGCAAGATGAAGAAACCTCTCAAGGGTTCAGATCAACTCAGAATGGATTCTGGATACTGTCAAAGCAGGACCCCGGCATGTGTAAACTTGGCAACTATTGGGACCTGAATCTGAGATCCAGATACTTCCCGGCAATAGCGGACTGGTTTCCTGAAGAAAGAACAGCGATTCATGACGGCATGCAGGGTCTTCCTTGCAATGATCGGCATGGCCGGGAACTCAGCTGATGATGGACGTCTTTTTCGATCAAGCCAGTGCCCACTGTAAGTGCATCCCAGCTTGTACACACAGGCCCAGCAACAGGATGCAAAGAAGGAGGACACGCAGCAGTTGACATACATCCAGGTGGGGTGCTGCTGTTTCAGACTGATGGCAGTGTTGGACGGTAGTGCTCGGACGGTTGTTCAATTTCGAACTCGAGTCTAGTTGCGGAAGTAATATTGCACCTGCCTACCACCCTTCGTCTTGAATATGGAAACGAGGAAAGCAAACAGCGAAAAGCTGCTTTCAAGCTTCCAACTAAGTATGCAAACTCAAGTGTGGGTAAGTCCCGCTCAAGGTGGAATTGTCGAAGGCTGGCGTGGGAAAGCTTCTAGTGAAAGTGATGGCCTTGGATTGACTACAGTTGCAAGTATTTCAGGGTCCCTTCATTCCGCCGTCCAAAATAAAAGTCTATGCCGCATGAACCTGGAGCATGCCGTGATTAGCAGCTAAGCACATGCTTGTCGGAGGTTCGAGTGCTGCGGGTCCCAGTCTTTGTGGGGTTCAATTAGCACATGCTTGCCAAAAGCCTCCTAGTGCCGTGGGTCCCACTCAGTTGATCTGAGCACATGCTTGCCAGAGCCCCTAGTCCCGAACGGACACAGATGGTGCACAATTTTGAGATTTCGTCTTCCACCCTGTGCGTATGCTTACATCGGTATCTGAGTCTATCTGAGCCTGCTGCAGCCTGACACTGCTCTACACTCAGGTGCTCAACAGCCACGCTGTGCAAGATGCGCCGGCTCCAGCATTTCCTGGCGAGTCCATATGTCCATGCTCTGGCAAGCAGCAGCACACGGCAACCTCTGCGAGGTTCAACGGCTCGCGTGGCACGTGCTTGGAGCTCCTCGATTGAGCTTTGTTCACGCAGACGGGATGTCATTCATCGTGCTCCCTGCTCCCGTAGCACTGTCTACATCTTCAACATCGTCTTGACTTTACACCAGCCAACGGTCCGGTGGGCTTGTTTGTGCCTTGATATGATGTGCCATCCTCTGAGGAGCTCTTGCAAAGCCGCGGACCTGATGGAGAGGCGAAGGTCAACAAGGCCCCTTCGCAGCATCTCGTAGCCCTGGTTGGCGGATGACTGCTGTGGAAGGTGGTCCAATTCGGCCTGCACGACGCCATGTCTTCTAGCGATGATGACACGGGCATGTGGGAGTCCTTCCACGAGGTCCTGCGAAACAAAGACATGTGCAGAATGGGCATCCTGATCTGGAGAGCTCAATGCCAGATTCTGTCAACAGCCGGCCGGGCAGCGAAGTGCTTGGCCTAGCTACAATACCTTTCCCAAGCTGCAAGACATCCTTCCAACATTTGCCTTCCCGCAAGCCTGCAGCGCGGGGCGACAAGATGCAGCGGGTACTGTATCCACGATTACACACATGACTGAATTTAGCTTGCTTGCTCAAGCTTCATGTGCTGCTACGGAATGTTGACGAGTCCTGTGACACTGCCAGAGGTTTGTGCACGGCTTCCGGACACTGCCAGTCCTGACATCCCAAGAGAAGGCCGTTTTTTGCACTGTGCAGCGGCCGACATGTGCTCCAGATGGACGGAACGAATCACGTAGCTCATGAGTAGCAGGCACGTCTACGCGAGCCGAGCCCTCGGATGATACACGACCATCCCTTCCCAAACCCAACACAATGCCAAAGCCATGTGTCGTGGCTTCGCATGCTCAGTGCAGACCTCACATTGTGCATCACCTGGGCATGACCTAGCCAAAAAATCTGACCACCTTCCCTCATACTAGCTTCCTGGGCCCAGGTACGACGACTTGCTGGAGCAGGCTCGGTCACACAGTCAAAAAAGAAGCTGACGAGTGTTTCGAACGTGTCCATCACAAGCCGCAAGCAATCTAGTCTCTTGGCCTGGTTGAGGCAGTTGATGCCATACAGGCCCGGCCTGCTCTCCTTGTGGAGGATGACCTGCATGAGCTTTGGAAGACTTTGGAAGCTTAGGGATCTTCCCGAGGCTGTGAGAATGCTGGTCGAGGGCCAGTTCAAGTCAATGCAGGACACTGTCTTCTCGTCGCTTGATAGCAGCAGCTTGATGTGCAAGTTTGCCCGTGCTGAGCCTGAGCAAGGTAAGGCAGGAAAGCATGCTGCAACCTTGCTTGCGGGCCGACATCGTCTTTCGCATCGCAGGACTACCTGTATTCGCAAGAGGGCAACGTGCGCTCGTTTAACGCCGGGAAGCCTATCATTCAATGCACCTTCTAATGTCAAAGGAGTGCAGGGTCGAAGCATGCAGGAGGCAGCAGCAACTTCAAGCCTTCTGGCCACAGTGAATGCACTGAACCTGCTACGGTGCATTGCGCCAAACCACGATGTCCCTGCATGCGCAGAAGCGCAAGACATGAACACTCTAGACTCCACAAGACAAAAGACAAAAGGCTATAATATGTAGACGTCTGTGTATTGCAATTTGTATGCACATCTGCAGACAGCACCTTCAGGTCCCGGGCCTCTGTTGCTGGCTGCGCGGGCCTTTGCAGCGACTGCGGCCAGACGGCCAGAGCTTCCGACGCGAAGTCTCAGGCTGACCAGGATGTGCAAGGATGCCCAGGGCGCCCGGCGCACAGTCGGTGCTGCTCTTTGATGCAGTCTCTTACTTTAGGGGCTGCTAGGCTGCTAGGGCTATCAGATGTGGTGACGCATGTAGAAGAGTCGTGCTTCCCGCTCAGACCAACTATTCTTCGTTGAGTGAGCTGAAGTGCGCCGGGCCCTGAGCATTGAGAGTCTTTTCCATTTCCATATGGCAACCCAGCCGGCTTCGGTCGCACACTCACTCATGGAAGCATTGCATGCTAGATGGGCTTAAGTTGGACGGCAAATCCCAGAATTTACGAGACTACTAGGTGGAACAGATGGTCTCAGTTCACTACGCATGGACTTAAGGTGAAGTTTGTGGTGGTGCTCCTGACAGAGTTGGCACAGGGTCCCGGACTCGAGCTGGTCGGAACAGATGAGAAGAGTCAATCACGCACTGCTTGGACATCCACTGAGGCCCGAATCCGCGCAACCAGGACAAGAAAATCATCAAGTGAGCACAGAGTGTCGAGAGCTGTGATGGCTTCCGGCCAGGAGTTCCTGAGCAACATGGGCCTCATCGAGTTGGTGTCCGTTCCTCTGGACTTTGGATACGTCCGTGTCGCATGTCGGAGCTCATGCGTTTGGAGGTTCAAGCTGCTGATGGTGAATTTCCAGCAGTTGCAGAAGTCTGTGCGGGGCTCACCAGGGTTCTGCGCCTTCTGCCTTCTGGTCTCTACCAGGTTTTGTTGACGGTACACGCACTGCTCGTTGACATCAGCACACCGGGCATACTGCGAATACCTTTCGCAAGACCGGCTCATTGCCAGATGTGAAAGTACAGCTGTTTTACGGGCCCACAGCCTGCAACCATCAGACCTGACCAACGGCTTGGGTGGTCATCAACATCTCAAGAACTTGTGTAAGAACTAAAGCGAGGGGTAGCCTTGTGCGAGTGTGAGAGTCGAAAGCCCGTCGTGGCATTGGAAGTAGAATTGAGTAGATGAGCCATGGAAGCACATGGTCGTGCTGAGCCGCGGCGACGAACCTCAATGGCAAGCAGAGTTCGGTCCCTGAAGGTTGGCCATTTGTAAGAACGGTTTGTCGTACTAAACAACAGATTCGTGGGGCTCGCATGCTGATCGACAGGACGCCCGCGTTCACCTGGCGAGTGCAGCGTTACAAGCTCCTCGTGGTGGGCATGGGGGTCGTGGGTGATTGCATGGAAGATCCATGGGCAGTCAGAGTCAGAGGTATTGGTTGCAGAGAACATGCTCACGGAAGTCGGACTCTCCCTCCCTCCCTCTGACTGTTGAAAGAGCACCCTTATATGGGCTTACCAGTTCAAGCTAAAGGTTGGTAAACGGCTGACTGCTTCTCCCTTCTACTTCGAGCTGCCCTCCTTCCGGGCAGGACAGACTGCGCACGCGAAAGTCTGCGAAGCAGTTACTCGCAGGGGGCATTGCGAGCGACTTGGACTCGAACACGGGGCTAAGCTACTCATGCATGTTGCACATCGGTTCTTGAAAGAGACAGTGGATTGCCAATAGCAGCAATTACTTGAAGACTCGAGGAGGGCTTGCCTCACCTTTCTGCACATCGCCACTTCGGTTGCACTCATGTGCTGTGGCCAGCTTGACTTTGGTGTGTGACGGAGTTGTGCCAAAGCTCAGGGCATGATCGAGCAACTCGTCACAGGCATTCGTCTGTAGAGCGCATCCCATGCTGGCCCGTCTGCCAGACGTGGACTCATCACAGGCAAGCGGGACGCTTACCTTCATCACGTGTGCCACTCTTGAACATCATCGCGGAATGCTCTGTGCATTTGTATATGCACCCTGCATGCAGCATACATGCTAACACACAGTTGTTTCCCTGTCTTTCAACAGAAAACAGCAGGCATACATACACACATACACATACGTACTTTATGCAATACAAACCTCGCTGCTAGTTGTCGAAGCCCTGTTCTGGGCAAGCCTTCGCCGGCCCCCGAGCAGGGCCACTCCTCCTTGGGACTGGCGGCGCCCAGCAGCTGGGCAGTCCACCTTCGAGCACGACAGGCCTGGCACTGCCAGGCAGGGATCGCAGTAGGATTTACTGTGCGGGGCTGAAGTTCGAGTCACCCGGTAGCTACTTCGGCCCCTTGTATTTCCCTATCACGCAAATCCAAATGCTCATCTTAAGCACGGCCGTTGTCGGGGGTAGGACATGGTAGGACCTAGGTGTCTGCGACTGAAGACCTGCCATCGCCTGCACTGTCGTCCATTCATCGAAAGTCTTGCGCGTTTTGCTGCCAGCAGTCAGAGTCCTCAGGGCCGTCATGCTCGCTCGGCAGGAACTTCCTGGTAACCGGCGGATTCACGGGCACGTGGCGTGCTCATTGGCAGCAATCGGGAAACTCCAGGGTGCTGTGCTGTGCAGCGGATTGCAGCGGACTGCCGAGAGTGAGCTGAGGATGGGTTCCCCGGTTTGACGATGGATCGCTTCTATCGATGCTAAACTGCAATGGCAAGGCTTCCATGCCCAACAAAGCACAGGAAGAGTAGAGGCAAATTCGGGTGGAGCAGCCGAGAAAGCACGCCTGTCAGTTGACTGTCAGGAAGCAGCAACTTCACCAGGAATAACTACTTCGACACTGGCCGCCAGAGTCATGGACCCAACTTGCGGCACATGGGCGCCATATCGCCAAATCAAGTCGCCCGCGTCAACTGATGCTGGGTAATCTCTCAGAAGGTCTGCCGCTTTAATCACAATGCCGTAGTTGCAGGAGAGCTTGTGAGCTCGACATAACCTTGTATTGTTATGTTCACTCGGCGGATCTCCGAAGTTCCAGCTTCTGCATGGCACCCTCCAAGAAGGTGCACCTCTCCAGGCACCACGCACAGGTGAGCGTGTCAGACCTGTAGCCTGCAGCAACATCTGCAGCGTGGTACGCGAGACTTCTGTACAGCACGTGTGGTCCAATGTTGCGGTTGAGGATCGCGCCTAAGCGCGCCGGATCTGCACATTGATATGCCGACATTTAGAATGTACCAGTAGGTCAGTAGGAGGGAGATAGTGAGGCTTGCGGGCAGTCGGCCCTGTGACTGCTTCGACAGCTGAGTGAAACAAGCGGTGCTCTCAGTCCCACAGCCTCAGAAGCAAACGTCAACTGAGGAAGGAGACGTTTACCCATCGGCCGTACGCCAGCTCAAGGCAGAACTGCTGCGCATGCTGCCCGGAGCCCGGCAGGTAGTGCGATTGACATACAATTGACATACAATTGCGAGGCTTTCCCTCATGGAGGCACCGTGGCAATCGGCACACAGCCGGGATCACCGATCAGCAACGCTCTGCGCTGTCCTAGTCGGCTCCGAGTGTGTCAGGGGCGACTGGATGCACGGATCCATCAAACCATTCTGCAGCGCCAGTGTCCCAGATGCCGATGCCGATCCCTGCCCAAGATTGATGGCCCTATGCGGTGTCAAGGGAACACAGGCTTCAAGAAAAACAGCGGCATGTAGTGAGACATGTTCAGCTTTGCTCTCCGCAGGTGGGGACCCTCTGGTCATCAGACAGCGCATCGAGTGCGGTCCCTGGGTGCGACAGTTGACGGAGAGGACGCGGGCGCCGAGCATGTCCGCAAGCACAATGACATAATGCAGCAAGTGATCCCCAGCCAGGCGTTCTCTGCAGCATGCATTTGCAGTCGGAGCCAGACCAGGAGCCCTACAGCTCCCTTGACTGCCAAAGCTCCAGCTCAGGTTTGTTTACCTCTACTTCACACTCGGTGCCGTCGCCATCAATCCGCGACAGGCAATAACTCCGTCGTTTGCTTGTTCACATCCAGGCCCTACGCAGTGGTAGAAAGGGTAGAAGGCAAGGGAAATTTTTTGGTGCAGCATCTCGGCTCGTTTCGTCCCGTGAGCGGCGGCTCTCAGCCCTTTGAGGGTCCATGGCGCGAGAACCCTGATCGCAACGAGTCTTCTTGCGGGGGATCATCGGGGATGAGTTTTCATGGGTTCTGGAATGTGACGCCCAAATCACAGAACAATTGCCCAGGCTTCTTCATGGAACGTTTACTACCACGACCTACCGAGGTATTGGCGGGTTGGCTTCTATTTGCCACTCTGAGGCCAGCATGGTCGATGCCTCAATCCGCCTGTTGCAGCTCCGCATGCATGCGCTGCTTAAGCACAGTCTTTCGGCCTGTGGGCAGCAACCTGCTATAAGGTCGCAGCTGGCAATCCCAGATGACATGGAATGCCAGAGAGGCCCACATGCTGCTGTGTGGCAATCCGTGACTCGGCTCCAGAACAATTTAAAAGCTTGAAGAAGTGCTGGAATCAACAACAGCATCATTTGCATTATCGTCGCTTGTCAGCTCTAGAGCCCGGACGGAGGTCAGCTCTAGAGCCCGGACGGAGGTTTCATTCTCCGATTAGGCCCCGCCTATAGAAGGTAATTACCGTTATCGTTGCCTCGATGTCAGCATTCGGCATGGTTTTCGGATGTTTGTGGCAACCGTGCAAGGTGAAGAAATCATTCCGCGCCTTGCTCGAGGAGACTCCAGGTGCTGTGTTACTGGTCTGGGATCGGAATCCTGCAGAATGCCTGTTTAGCAGAGGCTGATTTCCCTGCACCGTATTTTTCGTGGTCTCGGTCAGAGCTGAAGCTTGATGAAGTTGGAGCACAGCCAAGGTTCAATCCGAATCTTGGGCTGTCAGTGGCCGCACTTGAAGCCCACACGCCCTGAACTGCAAAGCTCTAAGGATTCCCGCCGAGAGAGTGAAAGACACGGTAGACAAGGGCATCGCCCAAGTCAAGGCCGGGAGAAAACTTTCCACAGTCCGCGAGCTGGACACAGACTCTCTCAAGCGAGATGGGTGGTCCGCTAAATTAGGGTCCCTTTCGGGGTACCTTGTATAAGGGTGCCGTGCTATTTTGGGGACCTGAAAACGGATCCTAATTTGGAGAACTGCTCAGATGGCTTGGATAGTCTACAGTCAGGCCGCCGGTGGCTTCGACAACCTTTCTGCCAACGAGTGCGGCCCAGGCTTCTTGATCGAAACCCCTATATACTGTATATGACCTATATAAAAACACAATACATAACATATATTATATGTTTATACGATGTATTTATCTATCTATCTATATACATAATGTGTGCAGTACCGGCGGTCGGATGCCTTATGGGGTCACGGCACATCGGCAAAGCCCGAAGCGGCAGCACCTGGCACTTCTTGCATTGGAATCGCTCACACAGCCCACCCGGCCAAACGAGGAAAGATTGCCATACAGCTTCTTTCAGCTTCTGCTGGCATGTTTGAGCTGTTTCTGTGCTGGGGCTTAGCGCTGCTGCGACTCCCCGCATCCGCACTGTGGCAGGTCTGCCTCATCTCGGATCCCATGGGCGTGGCTCAGACAGTGCAGACAGCCGGAGAGGCGCGGAGAGAAGCCAAAAGGACGTGCCTCCGCTCAGAGCTCTTCTGTTCTCTTGCTTTCGGAGGCCTTCGCCTCGCCTTTGCTCACGGTCCTTTTGGACATTCCTTGGGTTGCCACGGCACTCTCAGGGTGGCCCATCTTCGGCAGCTCGGAGAATCTGCTCCGGTGCAGTGCCCCGGCTTTCTTGTGTAAATCTGAGGCATCATGGCGCAGCTGAGCCTTCGCAAGGTGGAGCGTGACACCCAGCCTAGGAGCCCTCAGTCCTCACCGTGGAATGACAGGCAGAGCTCCTGAAGGACTTGGTGAGCCAGGACAGCCATCAGCCTGCACTGGCGACTTGCATTAGCTCAAGGCCAGAAGTGCGGATCCAAGGCATTGATGGTCTGGAAAACAAGGTCAGTCTTCGCCTCAGCATCCTTGCAATCGAAGTTCAGATGCCGGAAGCGACGTTTGAAGTGAGGTGCGGCTTACTTCAAGTCTATGCGAGCTGCCATGGCCTCTAACGACCTCGCTGCCATGGCCGATGCAACCCTGAAGTCCCTCAGCAGACAGGTAATATAGTGTTGCATTGTCGTGTTTGGAAGTGACAGTATATAGTACACTTAGTGTATAGAAGTTGCAGCTAACGAGCTCAGAGCCAACACAGGTATTTGGAGGATCCCACGCCAGGCCAGGCGTTGGGAGCCCTTGCCAGTATGCAATGTGCTTTCCGAAGCCATCCACTCGTCCTGGACACAGGAAGCATGGTTCACTGAACTTGCTCCCTGCAGGTGAGACCGACGTCCTTGCAGCGTTGACAGCACTGGCCACCCAGGTGAGCGCATGGGGGACTGGGCTTGTCAAATCGCCTTTTGACATTGCTCAGGCTATTGCTGCACCGGTGTTGTACTTGTCGAATCTTGTCGACATATGATCCATTCGTACTTCGCATGCTAACGGTAAACCGGAACCGGTCGGGCAAGAGTTACCTTGCTACTTATATATGCTGCGGTCATGGGACTTGGTGCATCCCTCTCATGTCGGATGTTCGAATCGCAGGCATCCGTGCAAAGCAATGTCCAGCCGGGCCCCAATTTACCGCCTGCTCGGGCCAGATGCAGTGAAGGGATTACTCAATGCACAGACGCAGCATGCCCAGGGGGCATGCCGCGCAAAGCGGAAATAACGAAGAGCGATGGAGATCGATATTGTAGTGGAAACTGCCGTAGCTGCAGCCCTCGTCTCTGAATGCTCCAAACTCATGGGCTATTCGCAGGCGTGAGGCGGGCATGAGGCAGCCCCTCCTCAAAAAAGTGGAGACTGCCATAGTCTCGCACATCCCAAACTGAAAAGCGTTGTCGCAGAGCTTCAAAGCCACTTCTCAGGGAAAGATTGAACCTGGTGAACGGCTTGCAGGAGGCAGGCAGCTACTACTGATTGGAGACTTCAGAACACTCTGAGACATTGATGCAGTCATCATCCTATCTGCAGGCCGTCAAGAAGGCGATCCGCACCCCTGCAGACTTGGACTGCCTGGGGATGAAATAGCTGGCTTCTACTTCGTTCAACTTTGTCTTCAGTTTCAAATTAAGCACAAATCCGTCGCGAACTCCAGGAAGCAAGTTCTGGCAAATCTGTTCGCAGGACTTGATGCTCGCCACCCGATGGCCTCTTTGGAGCCGCCACCCTCAGCCTGCCACAGATGCGTAGCGTGCCATCGTGAAAGCGTGTTGCAACGCAGCTACAGCGCTTGCTGCACCATGTCCAGTAATTGCCCTAAACCCTATAAACCCTATAGACCCTAAACCCTAGACCGCCTTGTGCCGAGGCCTGATCCACTTTACGGTGGATGCCATAACACCGGCTGCATGAGCCGAGACATCACAGCCGCGCGTGGCATAGACTGTCACATGAACCGCCGACGACATCCAAGAAGCATAGACTCTCGTGGAAGGAAGTGCTTGTCGTAGACATCTTACACCTGATAAGACGCAGAAAGAAATCTCTACACTCCTGCATAGGTTGGTTCTTTGCGGCTCGTGGCTGTACCACACAGCCTTAATGCTCCAATTTTGAAGCGATTTTGCAGTCCACATCCGGTGCTGGATGTGCGGCTGGGCAGATCTCGGTTTTGCATCCAGAGATCGTTTCCCCTTCATCGGGCGCAAAGTAAATGTTTACAAACGGTGCCTGCAATGGCCAACCGAGAGACTCTTGCTTTAGACGACCAGAGACCATCGGAGAAACTCATCAACGAAGGCATCGACATTACTCTGGGTTGGATAAATCGGCAAATCGTACTGTCGCTCCACGCGACAGCAGCAAAAACCTTTCAAAGCTGTTGGGCAGGCCAACCAGCTTTTTACGTGCTGATATGGAAGAGAGTTTCACCGCTCGGAGGCTTCTTGCCATAGCTGGTCGAGCAGAGTGGGCTCTGCACAGAAAGGGGAGAACAGGTCGCAGCTGAACACACCTCAAGCCAAGCGAGCCTGCAGCAAAGAAAGCTTTGGCTCACCATGGTAACGACATATCTGGTGCGACCTGTCGCATGTGCACGGTGAGCCCCAACCAGTTTGCTCCCAGAATCGGGCACAAGCCAGAGCCCAAATGTCACAAAGATCCCAGTGCCAATTGAATGCAACCGCGAAGGACGACGTTCCGGAGCAATCCATGCTCCCTTGCCACGAACCGGTGGAAAAACCGGGACACGGCGCAGTCAAAAGCCAGGAGAACAAAAGGAAGGTGCTGCTTGCTCCACCTTACAAATGCAACTCCGACCCGACATGTTGTTTGCGATATTTGAGAACCGGGTCATCGACGTTAGTGATCTTCGCGACCGTGACCTGCTGCTGTCCCGAAGGTGACCCGGCAGAACTTGGCTGCTATCCCATTGGACGGCAATCTGCACGCCTTGATTTTGCCACAGGCCCACGCTCTTGGGGTTTAGAGTCGACTGGAGACTGAATCAAGAAAGAGACCGGTAAGGCACGCGAGAACCCAACGAGACCGCTTGAACGAACAGCCGATCGAGAATGATAATACCGAGCAGCCATGAATCCTGATAGGTTTTCACTGTTACTTGCATCTCTGTCCAGCGCATCGAATCGTGAAGTGTACTGAGCTTGCCGGTTTCTTGCTCTTCACGAGCTCCAACTACAGTTGCTTTGGCGCACCGACGCAGGCAGATCCTTCAGAGGCCTGGGCAAGGAAGCAGGGAAGTAGCACGTACTGTACAGCGTATCGGGGAAGACCAGGAGTCTCAACACACAAAGTTTCAATGTTTCGGATGCACAGGACCCATTGAACAGATTCATGTACCAGCTTCTTTGCGCGACTCCTTGCCAGCTTTTCGCTGCCGTGAGCCGCAACACTGCCGGGACCCCGATGTGCAGAGACTGGGACAAGCCTCAAGATCAGGAATGTGAATTGGTGCACCGACACTGATGACATGATGATGATGGTATCCCATCCCTGCATTCCAGGCCTTGGCAACGGAATTCCTGGAGGACAGTTGGCCTTTGAATGTAAACCTGAAGCTTTCTTAGGCTGAAGGTGCATATCAGTCTTATAGGGCTTTCTTGAGTCTAGTGCGGGGCTTTGCCCACGCCAGGACCTGGACGACGAACAGCTTGGCGTCCTCTTTGCCGAGGGCTTCTGCCTGCGAGGTACTCAGAGTCGCTACTTGGAGGTGCATGATAGGTACTTTATGGGCTTCCTTTAAGGGTTCCTTTAAAGGGTTCTATTGGGTTTTCAGGATTTAGGGTTTAGGGGTAGTTATAAGTGGGGTTATAAGTAAGGTAACTATAGTTATGACCCATATCAGGGGACTTATAATCCCACTTATAACTACCCATGAACCTCCAAGTACTGGCCAAGAGTAAACGCCTTGTAGCTCGAAGTGAACTTGCAGCACACCCCCCCCCCGTCCCCAGTTCCGGCAGATGATGTTCATTTGTTGAAAAATGCCCAGCATCGAGCTTGTTTACGAGCTCTCGGCCCACAGCCACAAGTTCAAGAAAGAGGCGCGCGTTCGGCGTGTGCATGTGCATCAGTTTCATTTCATCTGTCATGTTGCTTGTGGCCTGCACTGCAGAGTCAGATGCACATGCTGCGTGTCCAAAGCTGTGATTGAAGCTTTGTATCTCAGGCCGTAGCCGGTACTCTCAGTGGCCTCACTTGTTGAGTGGGGTCCTTTAGAAGATAGCTTTTGGCCGTTCATCGGCGAGAAGTGAGCATCTCAGAGTTTGAATTGTGGAAAGGCATCGACACGTCAGCTGGACTCGCTTTTCTTCATTTGACTAAGGGCTCAGCATGGCCGCGCCCAGTCTCGATGATTTTGAGAGCCTGAGGGTGCTCGGAAAGGGGAGCTATGGCAAGGTGTACTTGGTTCGGCGCAAGAACTCGCCCAGCATGGAAGTCTTTGCAATGAAAATGCTTCGCAAAGAACATGTCATGAATCGTGTCTCGATTTGAAATCATGCTCTCGCACGCAAAGCTCTCTACATCTTGCCGTGGCAAATCCCGCCGTTTGGAGTGCCTGAAGCTTCTAAGGCAATCAGGTCGAGCACACCAAGACGGAGAGGAACGTTCTCGAGCATGTCAATCATCCCTTCATCGTCTCTCTTCACTACGCGTTCCAGACGCCCAAGAAGCTTCTTTTCAGCAAGCCGGGTGCTTGTGTTGAAGCATGATATTTCCGACGTCCGAAAGAGATGCAGCATATCTGACATGTCAGCAGCCTGGAATAGTGCAGGAGCCTGTTTAGGGAAGTGCGATTTTATCACCACTGGACAGTCGGACCCATATTCCTATGAGAAACTCGTACATAGCACCTCTGGAATCACCATGACTCAACCCCAGGCTCTACTTGGTTCTCGATTACTGTCCTGGTGGAGAGCTCTTCTTCCACCTGAGCCGCGCAGGACGTTTTTCAGAAGGACGAACAAGGCGCGGTTTAGGAAAAGGGCTTCCAGTTGCGCAACGTTGGGTTCACAAGACCATCAATCTACATTTAGATGCATGTACACATACATACATACATACATACATGCATACATGCATACATACATATATATATGTATATATAAATATATACACATAATTACGTGCTTGCCTGCCTGCTGGCTGGCTGTTTGTATGTATGTATGTATGTATGTATGTATGTATGTATGTATGTATTGGTGTGTATATCTATGCATGCACACATGGACGTATGGACGTGCGCATGTATGTCTGTGACTGCACGCCTCCATCTAAGTATGCATGCATGTATGTTTGCCTATTTGTTATACAGCGAATGCTGTTGCTGCAGAATGTCAGGTTTTACATCAGCGAGATTCTGTTGGCCCTGGAATACTTGCACAGCCTGAACATCATCTTCCGTGATTTGAAGCCAGAGAATGTGCTTCTGGATGCCGAGGGCCATGCCAAGCTCACGGACTTTGGATTAAGCAAAGAGGGTATCACCGACAACTTCTCTGCTCGGACGATGTGTGGCACCCCGGAGTACTTGGCTCCAGAGTTGTTGGACAAGCGCGGCCACGGCAGGGCAGTCGACTGGTACTCCTTGGGTGCTCTGGCATATGAGATGCAGACGGGTCTCCCCCCATTCTACACCCAGGACCGCAACCTCCTTTTCGAACGCATCCGCCGTGCCAACCTGTCCTACCCCTCCCACATCTCGCCTGTCGCCAAGTCCCTGCTTGAGGGTCTCCTCACACGTCAGCCTGAGTCGCGGCTGGGCGGAGGCCCCCATGACGGCGCGGAAGTCCGTGCGCACGGCTTCTTCGCCTCGGTGGACTGGAATGCACTGTACCAGTGCCAGGTGACGCCACCTTTCAAGCCCAAAGTCTCGGGGGCGGGTGATGTGTCGAACTTTGAGAAGGAGTTTGTTGACATGCCTGTGGCGATCTCAGAAGCTGGTCCCGGAGCTCAGGAAGTCCATTTCGATGGTTTCACTTATCGCGGCAATTGAATTGATCCAACGTGTCCAGCATCCCGATGGGATCTTTTCACTCGCCTAGGTAGTAAAGCCGACACTAGCTTGTTTCTGTAAAGTCCAGCGCGAATAGGAAAGCAAAGGGATCGTAGTGAAGCTGCTTTGCTGCGATGGGTCCACACGTGCTGCCGCTCCACACGCCAGTCTTGGAGGGGGTCACCTGAGTCAGGCCATGCCATTGCCCGAGGAGCAGGATCCCTTCGTGGATTCTGAGGCCGAGTATCGAACTCGCCGAGAGCTGGCGACTTACGATGCCACGGACCCACAGCTGGCGGGAGCATGCCAACCGAAACTACAACATCTTGTGATCTAGTTCTGAAAGTCCCGTGGTGAAAAACAGCCACGGAACGCACGTTCTACTGCACTTCCTGGCCTAAGTTATCTGCGCGAGCGCGCAGCTTGGCAGAAGCGGCAAATCTATCGACAGGCCTGCTGTCCCCGGTTCCGTCGCTGACAGCGGGCAGGAGGACAAGGAAGTGATTTGCTTGCGTTTGGGAGGCCTTCGACTTTCTGGGGCGCTACGTGAAGACCTTGGAGGTGGTGCTGAATGGACACCTTCAGCCCTGTGCTGAGATCTCGATGCGTCTTCCGGATGGGCGTGGATGCACAGTCAAGTCACCAGTTGAGCTTGAGAGAAGCGTTTGTTAACAGGTCTTTGAACTTCCGAGTGCCGGTCACGGCGGTGTGGTACGTGCTGGCTTCCTAGGGAACTTCCGTCTCCTGAGCATCGGTGATGGTTATGCTTCACCGTTTCAACCAAGGCAAGGCGCCTCGAAACAGCGCATCCTCGACGAGGTTCCGTTCAGCTTGCCGGCACCCCATGAGTCCAAATTCTAACCGCATCTCCATAATCAAACAACCAGCACCAGAAAGCTGTTTCTGCAAATCAAGGCCAGATGTCAAGATGAAGAGCTTCATTCAAATGTGCGACTCGGCGTTTGTCATCGTCGTGCGTAGGTTCTACAGCAACACATGATATGTATCGCTTGCATGCAGTACAATACACACATCAGACTAGACTGCTAGCTCTACCAATCTGGAGCCGTTACTGGAAGGGCCTAGAGGTCGATGTCCATTGGGGATTGAACTTAGGCGTGGAGCTGAACAATGAGCATCTTGGCTTCAAGTAGTCCTCTTCGTGAGAGCGGCGCAGCATCTGATCGACCAGCGCTGCTGCCTACAGCGGTGCGTCGTCTTCGGCTGTTTGTCTCCACAACCCATGGACAGATCCCTGGTGCTGAGTGCTACAGGTCTCGCCTTATCCTGGCTTTGTCAAGGTTCTCGCGCCCCTGACAAGTTTGGAAGCTGTGGGGCTGCTTGTGTCGTGTCTCGTGGCGAAGGCATATTGCTGCTGGTAGCCTCAACGCCGTGAGAATCAGATCCCACTTTCAACGGCAGGCTTTGTCCACAGAGGTACCGCAGATGGGCCACTGGCTTACGTGGTGTAATGTGGGCATATTTCCAGGCATGTGGTGTGCAGTTTCGGAAACAACCATAAAAGCATCTAAGAAATGCATGCATCTGCCCTTGCCAAACTTCTAAACCCTGAGGCCCAGCTCTACCTTCCAGACGGTGTGCATGGGCCCTCGTTGCACAGATGGCATATGCAAGCACAGCTACCGGTAGCTGTGCATGCTGTGGAAGTCAAGGCACAGACCTTTTTGGGTCTTCCTGGCCAATGATGCGAAGCACATGCAGAACCTGATGAGCCGTGCTCCAAGCAAGCATTCCAGTTTGGAACTGTTGCTAGAGCCTGAGCCAGAGCATGGTGTTTGATGACGGTGTGCAGTCACTCAACGGCACCATCTCACTCATAGAGTCTTGAGAGATCTCTTTGGATGCAGCTTTCTTCCCGTGGTATGGTAAGGTGACACGGTAGCGGACCTTCCACGCCACAGTCCAAAAATGATTGCATCATCTTAGCCGCCATGCACTGTATTCTGCACGGCACACCTTCACACCTGCGGGTCCCCTAGGTAAGGACTGAGTCACACCATGTAGTGCTTGGAATCTGCCGGACAAATTCCTGAACCAGCTGCCTGTTAAGTGGGCCCAAACTGCCCAGGCTGTTGGGGCCCGCTTAACCTGGCGAATCTTGTGCTATCAGCCATCAATCACATAGTCTGATAGTCAGGCGGGATTTGTGTACATGTATGGTCCGCAGACATCAGATGGCCAAGCTGCCGGACAACAAATGCAATGGCAGCTTCCTGCGCTCAGCAATTCAATTCGAACTCGGAGTTCGGCTTCCACTTGCAGCCCTTTACTGCTGCAGCCATTGCGTGTTGCTGTTTTCTCGTTTTCTCCATGCTTCAGGGGCCGTGCATGCGCTATTCATGATTTGCCCATGTCTCACCCTCCGCGTCTTCTGGTCCAACCATGGGCCACGGCATTTTGCACGGATGTTGTGCGAGGTCATAAGCCGCCCTCAGAGCCTTTGAAAGCTCTCCCCGCCGAGGATCATCTTTGTACCTGAGTTTGTGCTTGGCACTACATGCCGGTCTTTTTCTGGTCGCCCCAAAGGACGAACGCGTATGCATTCTCATGCATTCCGATGTCTTCCGAAGTCAGTTTCATTCTATAGCACCATCGCAACTCGCAGGACGCTGCTGGTGACCTGATGTGGGCGTAGCAGACTCGGGTTTTGTGTTTCGCAGCACGATGGCATGTAATTGCTGAGCCGTCCGGATGTCGCATTGTTCGGAAATATTAACATACTGCACAGGTCACCCATGGCGCAAAGGCTTGATGTTGGGCCTGGTTAAAGTCTCTTCAGCCGGCGACATGAAGAGTAGCTGAAAGCCGAATTGTGCGCGCTTGGTAGATTGCGAACTTGTTTGCAATGCATCGGCGAGTTCGTGCGGCATTGCATCATGTGCAGGATTTCAGAGATCCTTGGTGCTCTGCACCTTGCACGGACCTTTCCAGCCTTTGTTTGACCCAGTCGGCTGCAATGCCACGTTGAAGCTGCACTGTGCACCGAGGCATGTACAATGCTCTGGCTTTGCCTGTATACTTGCATCCAGGCTGGTCTGGAATGCATACATAGGTCAGTAACGGCCTAGATTAAATTGGAGCTGGGCCATGCACCAATCAGCATGCCTTAGCCCTGTGCCCTCCACACAGGTGCCACTGAGCATCAAAAAAGTGCAGACCCAGTATCCGAAGAGGCACAGGGACAAGATGCTTGTGCAGCACGAGTTCATGCACGATCATGTCGAGGAATTCTCTCGTCAACATTTGCGCTGCGTGGGTGCGCTTCTCAGAGTCTTAGGGCTGCCACATCGCACCCGACGCGGCTGCGGCAGTCCCCAGCGTGTGGGTTGTTCAGGGGCGTTACATGAGTCAACGGCTGCTCCAGCACTGACCTCAGCTGCTGCGTCTTTGCATATTGCAGACCCATGCTGCGCATGAGGTGGCGTGCCATTACACTGGTCCTGACGTCGCTAGCACTGTTTCGCCAGGCACTTGTGAAACCTGGGTGTCTGCGTGCTTAGAGCACCGACAGAGCAATGAAAACACGCATGCTGCTGAGGACGGCACTGGTGGGTCTACAGGTGGCAGCAATCTTGATTACAATACCTTCACGCGAGCGAAAGAAGCAACTTGTGTTCTCTATTTTGTCAGTTTCCTGCTGGCGGACTTCTTCGCTCAAAGCCCATCACTTCAGCACGAGCCTCAGGAAACATCAGAAGCCATCATCCAAGAGACAGAAGCTACTCAGAGCTGCTGAGGACCGTGCTGAGTGGTGTAGTGGCCCCTGCATGGCAGTAGCCTTACGGAAGACCGAAGTTGACAAGCCGCCTCTTCGGAAAGTCAAGCCCAACTCAGCGCAGGCCTCTGTTCATGACATTCCTTGGTGCTGGCATCATCACCTTCGTCTACGGTGCCATAGGCCCTGGTCCATGGTGAGTTGTGAAGTCTACGCTGCATGAAGGGAACGCGGTAACAGCCAGTGTACCATAGAGAGAATGTGCAGAGATAGAGAGTGAGGGAGAGAGAGTGTGTGTGTGTGTGTGTCGGCAGGGCTTCACAATTTCCGGGACGAGTTCGGCATGTACTGTGATGAGAACATCATGGCATGGCACCTGGAAGCTCTCCACATCTCGAAAGATAGGTGCCACACAGGACGGGACTGCCAGTACTTGTGAGTCGACCTAGGTCTGCACACAAAGCATCCTGTACATGGGCACTCGCTCTGGAATTGTGGGGCGCGCCCATGCAGAGAGACTTTTTGGAAGTTGCAGAGTCGGCCAATTGCGGAAGTGCGAGCGAGGTTGAGCGGCATGATGGACCAAGTAGGCCCCGAGGACTACTGATAGCCCCTGAGCAAGTCGTACTGTGTTGTTGGATTTGTTGCACCCGCTCGCGTGAATGCATTCCGCCCAGAGGATGACACCTGGTTCCAGCGTATGGTGTATGACATCAGCCAGAAGCCCACCCATGGTTTGCGTTCTAGCACGCCTTATGCTCAACACTCCGCATTTCATCGCGACCTTGAGTGCCAGGCTACTTTGTCATTTTTGGTGTCATGTTGCTGAACACCATCGTGGCCCTGATTGTGGACTCTTTCCAGACTCAGAGGCTGCCGTCAGAGTGATGAAACCTGCAACACCTCGTGAAGATACCGAATTTCTGTGAATGATGTTCCTTCCAGATTCCATTGCCCCGGCTGTGCGACACGTACCAGGAGAGAAGCAACGGCCCGCGAGAACAACTTAGAGACGCCACCCTGCTGCATCCCAGCGCAACTTATGCCATCATCGTACCACTTCCGTATCCGAGGCAATCTTTCATTTCTTCGATAGACCGCAAAGTCATCGAGCACCGATCCAAGCTGAAGCGACCGTAGGGTAAGGCACCTGCTCAGCGCGAAGACAGACATACAAATAGTTTCCAGGTCAGTGGCTCAATCTGCTGGCATTGTAGATGGTTTCGAGTACCACGAGACCTACAAGCAGAACAAGTGGGACCGAAGCCCTTCGCAGGGAGGGGCTGCCAAAGGAGACTTGAGAATCCGTTCCATATCTTGTGAAAGTCTTCAGGACTATATGGCCTTCGTCTTCCACCTTCGTGAGAAGCATGCGCTGGACCGGGGGCTGCACGGGTTGGCCTGAAGTCGCAACATGTCACGTCTAATTACCCTGCCAGAACTTCACCGGGCCGGCTTCTTGGAAGCCCACTGCCTGTCGAGATCGCTGCGAGTTGGCTCCAGCGCATGTCTTCTTGCCGCGGAACATGAGACTGGCACTTCAGGCAAACGAGGCGCGAAAGAGTTTGGCACCTTGCCTGAGCGTCTGTCCGAGGCCAGAGAGTCAGATTCGGCAATTCATCGACAACTCCGATGCCCTTCGGCTTTCTAGTTTGGTTTGCCGCTTGTTATGCTTTGTCACTTTTTTCCGCCTCTGGCGAAGTTCACCGAGAGGTTGGACCAGAGCACCAGACACTGCATCGGAAGCTCATTCCCGAACAGAAGCTAAGGTCACTTGGCTCCCCATCGGACGGCTGAATTCTCAGGAAGACTGACGTTCCACTGGCTTGAGACACCTTCCACCGTGGACCCTAAGCGAGAGGTCCAAAATGTTGGAGGGCAAATCGGAGGAGTCTCAGGAGGACGCACTGACCGCTTGCTGCAACATGATTGGTTTCGGTCGCAGTCGCAAGCTGGCCCATTTTCTGGCAAGACGAGGACACCCTGACCTTGATTCAGAAGCAAAACTCTCAAATCATTGGTGTGGGGAGCTCGACTGCTTAAGGAAAGCCGCATGTGCATGGCAAGTGTAGTTGCCGAGGCCCTGCAACAAACTCAAGACAATCGCAAGGCCACAGCCTGAAGCCAGAACCCAGCCGACTGATTGTGGTTTCCGCGCGGCCCCACTTCATGCTGTAATGCTGCAACTGAGACCCTCTTCAAAGCCATCGGCAGCCTAGGCCAGTCTTTGTTTCCATGTGGCTGCTCTCTTCATGTCACCGCTTGCACCTCTGCAGCTCGATCGATGCGCGACAAGACCGACAGCGTCCAGGAACTGCTTGATAACATGCACTGGGCCTCATTCCTGCTGCTTCCGTCGGTGAGGGTCCAGCACATTTGCTAGGCTGCGTGCCGGTCGCACGCGGCAAGGAAAATTTTGCCATGTCGTGTATCGCTGCATCTTTCGGGTCTGACAGCTGCTTTGCTGGTTCGGAGATCACATAAACGCATAGAGGGACCTCAGACCGCAGTTTGCAGTACTGGATGTCGGTCAGCGTACTGCATTAGAGAAGCCAGCATGAATCGGGCAAATGACAGTGCACGCAGAAGCATGCAGCAAGACATGTCTCCAGCAGCAGACCCATACATCCACACTATACTGCACACTGCGCATACATGCAGTAGTATAGAGGTGTGGTGTGCATGCTACAACTACCTGCGCGGGGCCAGCCGCGCCACATTGTTGGCCTGGCCTCCAGCGTCAGACGCTCAGGTTCAACATGGCGCAGCAGGTTGGGGACTGTGTGAGGTTTCGGGACGGCATTAATGGACAACAGATGTTCGGAGGCAGACCGATGGCAGGTGGCATCTCGTGCCATTACTGACCATTACTGATTAACTTGGCGAACGAGTGCGTCAACACGGTCAGGAGGTTTTGGTGCCACATGTCAACTCACACGGCGATTAGACACCCACGAGCCATGCAGCACCGGCAACAGTGCTTGTCTTGAAGCACTCTGCTACTCTCAGAATAGTTTGGCCACCTCCAACCTGCCTGGATTTCGGGTTTGGGTTTCCCTTGCGTCGCTGAGGCCTCTGGTTGCCGACCCACAGGCTGCCCATGGGATTGTTGACAGCTCAGTGCTCGAACTGGTATATCATCCCAAAGGAGTACAGGAGTCAGATGAAGAAACGGGGAGGAAGCTCCCAAGCTGATCCTAAGGATACAGGCAAGTGCAAAGCCCCCTTCCGAGCCTTTGCAAGAAGCACACAATTATCGGTTTTGCACTTTGCGCGCGATGACATGCGTCTTCTTGCACCAAGGAGGAGGTCCGCAAAGTTGCGGCATTCTTTTGCACTGAAGATGCTGGCCATATCAACCCTATGTTGGCATTTGCCGAGTCACTTGGCTTACTTTCAGTCGAAGCGATGCCTGCCTGCTGCTGTTTCCGCGAGATCTTTGACGGTGCGGGGCTGGCAAGTGTCCTTCTTCGTGCCCAAGTCCAAGCGCATGCAGGTGGAGGGAGTAGGACCCCAACTTGGCTGCAAGCGTCGAGCATGGTTGAACCCCTTGACATTGGAAGTGCAGAGCCCCATTGAGGAGCGACCTGGTCTCACTTTGGCACGGAGAGCTGAGATCTCTACGAGAGCGCCATCCGTGTGTGCACAGAGCTTGGGCTGGAGGTTCCCATGGAGCTCGATCCTCGCTCCTAAAGGGACGAATCAAAGCAAGAGTGCTGTTGTGTCATGAACGGGCTTATGCCTGCGCTCGATCGCGGGAGGGAGTCCGATAGTCTACAGCAACTCGTCTGCCCTCTGAGCCAAATTCGGCTTCCAGAAGCACGCCACTGAACTTCTTGTGTTTCTGTCTGGCAGCCCCGAGGGCCCAAGCTGCCCAAAAAAGCTATGCACGCTTGGAGGCTTCCAGTCAGGTGGTTGTCTTCGCCGTCCGGATGTCCCGTCCATGTCAGACTTCTCGCCTTTGTTGCCTGTGGCGGTTCAGCCGATGGTAAGTTTTTGCATCTGCAACCCCGTTGCAGTCATTCTACTTCTGACTTCCCTCGAAAGTTATCTCCTTTGTTTGCTTGTGCTGTCTGTCCTTCATGGTTTCCTGTGCATTCCTGGTAAACTTGCTAGGCTGAGCAAACTTCAGTACCAGCCAGTCGTGATCTGACATAAACAGCCGGCATTCCAGGGCTTGAAGTCGTTTTGGGGGGATCGCTCCTTGATGGTGCCCAACAACGAGCACTGTCCAGCCCAGGATCCCCAGAAGATCATGCCGTTTGCAGTGGTGCCAGCCACGCTGGAGATCTTGCCGTATCTGATACCGAGCATCCTAGCCGTGCTTTAGGTTTGCTGATTAGCTATGACCCCGCGGCTATCGTCAGCTGATCGTGAAGCTAAGGGATGTCTGAGCTGCAGCCAAGCTTCATTTGCTTCGATGCAGCAGCACCCTTCGGCTACCTTCTGGCCGAGCACATGAAGATCCCAGCAGTGCAGCTCGAAGAAGGAGTTCATAACCCCACTATAGCCCCTTCTGGGGGGGGTATGGTTTGGGATCCCAGTGTCAGAGGTGCTCAATGTCAGCCCTGCCGATGCCCATGGCAGACCGGGAGAAAGAAAGCAGAGCCGGCCTTAGTCAGACATCTAAACCCTAAACCCATAAACCCTTAACCCGTCAGTGACACTGATGTCAGGTCGGCGCTCCGAGCAGGGGAGGCAAGTTCTTGACGCAACTTCAGCAGCCCTGGCTGAAAAGTACGGGCTAAACTTCAACCACAACTATGCGTACACTTGTGGCTCGGTGGCGTTCTGCCATCCCTGGGTCCATTTGGCATCTCGCAGCGTTGCTTGAGTGGTTGTTGAAGTGCGCTGGCAGCAAGGCTACAGCGACTACAACATCGTTTGGTGTTCTCGATACTGGCATGAAGATAGCTCGGAATTCTCGCCGGAGCAGTTCCACTGCAACTCAGCTTGCACCGTATGGGGATTGCAAAGCTAGCCGCTCATGCCGAACATTGTCGATAACACTGACAGCACAGACTCTATAGCCAAGACTGGGGACCTTTGACATCCCAGCGCAAGGGCATTGCAAGCGGGTCACCTTGGCCGCATCAAGCTGCATTGCCAGAAACTGTCTCGACAAGACGATTTCAAGCATTGAGCGCCGCACCGCATCCAGCACAATCCCCGAACGGCCGAGACCCGGATCAGATGCAGTGTCGACGACGCTTTGCAACCTCTCCGGACGCCTGGTGCACCTGGGCAGCACAAGAAAGACTCGCGGAACTCTTGTTTCTAATTATATTATATTATACTATACTATATTTTGTTTGTGTTCACAGATTCGTGATCAGCAAGGTTGTGCTCTTTGGGAACCATGGCCACAGGCGATGCGTTTGGGAAGTTTGGTGCTGTGGCCTGGCTAAAGCCAAGGGACTTTCAACTGAGAGATTAGGTTTAGGGTTTTAGGGTCATGGGGTTTAGGGTGAGTTTCAGAGATCTAGGGAGCCTGATATGGACCTCAACTAGTAACATCCTGTTTGGAACCCCTCAAGGCACCGCCACTTCTCTGAAACTTTCATGTGGCTGCCCCGACACACAGGCAGTGGTCGACTTCTTTCAGAAACTCTGCAGGGCAGCCGCCCTGCTTCAGAAGGAGCTTCCAGACGTGCAACTGGCTACCTGGCGTGGAAGACCAAGACGTTTGTTTGGCGGGGGTCTTAAAATTCAGGGGTGCAGTGTACTCTAGGTCATGAGTACTGTCTTGTGGGTCAAGCTGGGCAGTAAGGGCAGCAGTCGAGTCCCTTGTGAAAAAAAAGTGTACTCTAGGGCCTGGGGCTTATTATGGCTTATTGCAACGAGGATCCTACTATCTGGGGGAACGTATATTTACCTGAAGTAAGTGAAAGTGAGGACAGTCTGACAAAAGCTCGCGACTGCGCAGGTCCTGTCAGCTGGCAAAAGTACCGATCTGGTGGAGGCAGGAGCTCCTTTTTCCGTGTAGCCGGACAGAGCTGGCGACAGAGCAAAGGAAGGCGGCCGTGTGACGAGCCTATTTGGCGAGCAAGTGCCGAGCAACGTCGTCGTCGCCAGGAGCCGTGCATAGCTGGACTTCTGCAAGATTCGTGACTCAGCGAATGCTTCTTCCATCACTTCGGGGCCATAGGCCATATAGGCCTCCTTCGTGTTGCGTTTGGAGTGTCGCCCTTGAACGCAGGGCAGCATGGAAAAGGCGAGATCGAGCATCGGCCACTTAAAATAGTAAGGTGAGCACCCCTTGATAATTCATACTCTGTAATGAGCATGGAGGAGCTTGGACCAGTTGGCGCTGCTCGAGAAGGCAAGCGCATTTGTAACGAGCCTTGGCATGGAATCCAGGGCCAAAACGTCGAGCTTGGAGAGGAGAAGGCTCCCAAAACACCCGAGGCATTGTGGTCAGAACAGCTCCAGCGAGGCGGTCTTGGCAGGCCGGCCTGGGCAAAAGAGTTTTCTTTTCAGGGTTTAGGGTTTAGGGCCTAAGGTTTAGGGTTTACAGAGAATGCTTGTGGGTTCTCGGAGCTCGGCAGGGTGTGTCGAATCTCCATGTCCACGCCGCCTGCCCCAGGGGTTCCAGTGGTTGCTGCACCTTTCTTTGGCGACCAACCCTTGAATGCACACCGATTCATCAGTCTTGGCTGCGGGCTGCTGTCCCTCGGTTTCGCATCATGTAATATTCCCAGAAAGCTGAGGTAACCCAACAGGCGACCCTGCATCGTAGATTAAGCCTAGCCAGGCGGGCGGCAAAAAAGCACGCAGACTGTTGCTTTCGAGGCAGTCCTACGTTGACGTTCCCGCCAAGACCAGCGACAAGCAGTTTCGCCCCGACTTGGATAGAGTGTGGCATGGCAAATTGGTTGCTGGTCACTTGGGGTTTCACTGCCCTGTGTAACTTAAAATTTGAAACCACCACGTGGTCAGGTCGTCGGAGTCACTGGCAACAGCTATTCGAAGAGTCTTGGAAGAGCCGCAGTTTGGCGAGGCCATGCGAACACTCCGCGAGAAGGAGGCCTGAGCCTATCCAAGCTGTAGACACCAAGCAAGCGGTGTTGTGTGGGTGCAGTCGATGCTAGTTGGCAGATTTGGATTGCAGGAAGGGGAGCCGGTGGATGAGAAGCTGCAGAGTCCCTTGTTTGACAATCTACGTAAGGTCCAAGCTGCAACTGAGTCTAGTGCGCTCGCTTGAACCTCTGCTGCGAGGCTTGTACAAGTTCATCGCTGGGCATCAGGCTGTTCAGCCGTCTTAAGTTCGATCATCCCAAATTTTCAGCCGGAGCCCCCAACAACTGGGGAGCTCGAATGGTCTCGCATCGTTTGGATGCAGGCAAGCCTGCCTTGACCAAGGAAGCAGCAGTCCTCGTCTGCACTTGCAGGTCCTGCACATTTTCCTGCTTCCAGTATTTTACAACTTTTGTGGCTCGCTCGGAATGCTGTCTTCCCATCCCAGCAGCAATGCTTTAAGTCAGATCCAGAGTCAAAGGAGGCTACATACACCACCCAGGTTGTATTGATGCTAACTAATTCCTCGCTCGAACAGTTTAGTTCAGCGTCCTGAGCTTCTTGCATTCGGGACAGCCGAAGGGCGTCTCGGCCTGCATAGGCACTTGTGTGCAGTGAGCACATTCAACAGATATTGCTACAAAAGTCCTTCAGCCTTGTTGTTCCTCCTCTCTCTCTCTCTCTCTCTCTCTCGCTCTCTCTTTCGCCCCTCCAGTGTTTATGCCGATCCGTGGTAGACTAATGCATGCGCTACTCTTGGCTGTCCGTCTTCAGCACGACCTTCCGCACGAGGAGCAGCTCAAGGTTATTCTGGCTGACCATTCAGAAAGCACGCCCCCAAGCAAACGACATCGACTCGATCGACGTTTTGAGAGTCGGCTCGGTGTGGCAGATTGGTCACGAGCAAATTGCCGCTCAGCAATCTCAGGTGCGAATCCTTCTCCCATTGCAGGAATATCCAGGCCGGTCTTGCCCCACGAGAAGTGCTCGAGAACGGGAGGTTTAAGCCGAAGCCGCCGAAGCCATAGTTCTACGGAGTTCCCAAAAAACGGCTTAACCGGTTCTCCCTCAACGACAGTATAAGGAGACGGGCATGAAGCCTGCAGAGCGATGCAGAGCGCTGCACGGCTCTTCCTTTCGATTTGCAGGTCTTCCACAAAGAAAATGGTCGAACCGGCAGAGAGCAGGTTCCGCTCCATGCAGTTACCATGCCTTGTCGCCTGTCGCCCCGCTGTCGCGACGTCTCCAGCTGAGGCGACCCGCACCAGCACCGACACCTGCGCCCGCCCCGGCCGAGCCTACAGAGCCAGAGGAGTCTGCACAACCTACGGCCTTCGCTCGGCCACGACGTCTATCGATGTATTGATTCAACCCTCCATCCAGAAGATATCGTCGCCATCCTGCGGCATCGCTTTCAGCCCAACGTGGCTCAGCATGCCGCTATCTTGCATGACGGGATCACACACCAACTAGAGATGTCCAATCCATTGGTTCAGGTTCAGGTTACCTATGTAGATGTATCGTCATTGTGGTCCCTGAGCTAGCTAGACTACACATCACAACAGGTGAAGATGCATGCAGCTGTACAGGTGCACTCTCTGTTGAAGCGGTGGCAAAGGTCCACCTGCGAGAGAAGCAGCAGGACAAGAAAAACATTGCCTGAGCCTGATGTAATGAGAAACCTCAATGGCCCATGCCCTGACGGTCTAGCGTCCTTCAAGACCTGTTGCGTAATGTCATCTTTGAGATGCTTGAGATTCCGCCCCACCTCGTGCAGACCTCGGCTCAAGCGAGAATCCGCGGACGAGCCGAGTCAATTCGTTTTGCACCCAGATGCCCAGCAGATGCCAACTTTTTTCATCTGCTCAGCTGCACAAGAGAATCCTGAAGCAGGGGAGGCTGAGGTACTTTGTTGAGATGTTGATGGCGATGCCCTGGTGATCTAGTGTCTAGTGTCCACAACCAAGGTTGATCGGTTTGTGCAGCATGGCACCCAACAAGGCCGGGATGCTTTTGACAGCTTTCTTTTTGCACAGTGCAGCAGAGAACACAACCAGTGCTCAGCAGTTCGACAGAGTATCCCAAGCTTATTCGGTATAATGTCATTTGCGGGCTTGGGAAAATGTGTACGGCAGCCTGCGCTGATTGCGTGATGACGCACATGTCGCCCTCCAGGATGAGAAGAGCCTTGTGGATAGGCTGCGCGCCTTCCAGAAGAGCAACCAGGCCCTGCAGCTATGCATGGCCTTGTTACTGTACCCGACGATACCAGACGTGCGGTCAAGGATTTGACACGTAACTCTTTCGTAGGGTTACTCCAGTTCTACCTACCATAGACCTTTCCAGGAGCTGGGGGAAAATCTCCCCTTCTTGTGTGTGTCTGTCTGTCTCTGTCTCTGTCGCTGTCTGTCTGTTTGTGTGTAGCCTGTGTCTTTGCGGGTGCCTGTGTGCGTCCTGCGTGGGAGTGCTAGGCGAACAAACGATGTGCGGACTGTCCCGAGCGTGGCCCCACGTATGTTTGCCTCGCTCTCGGCCTCCTCAGAGCTCCCCAGTACAGTTGGCTTCAACTGATTTGGGTCTTGAGATTACGGGGTTTCTGCTCAAAGTAAAGGTACTGCAACTGCACATCCTCTTACACGAGTCTAACACGGTCCGGGTTCCTTCCACGAGCTATGCTTCCGACATAGATATGCTGTCGGTGCTGAGAAGTTTGGGCGCATGGTGGGTTTATAGAAGTGGGGTTTGAGCACAGTAGGCATGCACCCTTGCCGAAGTCATTTTGCACAGCCGGAAGTTTGTCGTTGCTGTGCCTACGAGTTGGTGAGTACTGAAGTAGGATTTGCGAAGGCTTCATGCCGCCTCTTTCGTACTCGCCTTGTGCCCTGAGGTTTGGATTTCATGGTATTCGTCTGCCAGACCTGCTGTGGTCTTCACAGGGAGCCGACTTCTCAGACGAACAGCTTGCAAAATTGCTGTTAGGAAGCACTGGTCGTGCTTTTTCCTCGTAACAACGGGAGAAGTGATTGCTTTGCAGGTTTGGCCACAAGATCAAAAGCATTTCCTTCTCGGAGTGGAGCGAGGCTGAGGTGGCTCGTGCTCGGCAGAGACCGGCTCCTCGCGTGCTTCAATCTCATAGGGGGCAGAGCACGTACGGTAAGAGTATAAGAGTCTGAGTAAGGTTGAATGGGTCTAGTTCTACCTCACTGAAGTGAAGTACGGTCCGGTCTCGTCCTGTTCTCTGCGGTTTCGAAGGTGGCCAAACTGGAGGAGGGCGGGAATGAAGCAGCCCGCACAAAGTGGCAGATTGCCCAGCCGTGAGATTGGCGTGTTGTGAGGCCTTCGCTGTTTAGTTGGACCCGCCAAGGCTAGACAGGTGGCATGCCGAAGCCTTCCCGGAGCCAGATGGCGGCGATGTGGACCGAACAGATCCGGCAATGCAACTGAAGGGCTTTGCAACAACGCATCGGACTCCTCCAGCAATACACGGAACTCAGCAGCTGTTGGATGTGGATGCTTGATAGCAAGATGCCCGAGGGCATCCATGGTTGTTTCAATAGCCATCGTGTCGAGCTTTAAGGTAAGAGCTCACATGTGCGATCGTCTATGGTCGTCTACTCGAATCCCACGTGCACATGCTGCAAGTCGGAGACAAGTGCGCGCGGTAGCGGTCAATGTTGACGTGCTGCGTTGATCATTCGGACGGAGGCAGCAAGTGATGGTAATTGATTGGAACATATTGGAAGCGTCTGACCTTGCAGCTGGATTCCTGCGCAGGAAGCATTGCGAGAGTTCATCAGATTAAAATACGTAGAGAAGAAATGGCCGGGACCCTTGCCTGTCAAATCGAGAGGCTCTCTTCCATTTACGCACGTCACATGCGCCACATAGGTTTCGACCTCATGGCAAGACGCAGACTTCGGAGACCATCAAGGCACGATGCATAACTGTCTAAGTCACAGCATGTGCATCCGGGGATTCCTGGCAGGCAGCTGCGCCTGAGACGCCTGCTGCAACGGCTCCTCGGAGACCAGTATGTGGGGCTTTAAATCAGCGTCTCAGGGGCTTTACTGGAGAGCGACGTGCGCTCTCTCTCTCGAGTGTCTTGCTACAGTACCTTCAGACGATGTCCACCCGAGAAAATTGAAATATATATATATATATGTATATATATATATATATTGATGAAGTAGTCATAATAATCGGCGTTACTGGAACTAACTTCTTGCTGCTGTTGCTGCTGCTGAGCCATTGCCCAGTCTTATTGTCAGGCTACTCTATTTTAACCGGTTGTTATTACTACATGCAAAGTGTCCTAGCTGATTGCCGGTCACGCATTGCCAGACAGAGCAAAGTTCGCAAAGGTTGGCTACGAAGCTTCTGCGCCGCCTTCCGCACCTTCGCAGGCGATTGTAGAAGCGTGTTGCTCTTTTGGGAAGAGCTGCAAGGTGCCCCCCCGACAATCTATGGTACGGTTGATGGCAATGTTTTAGTATACAGGACGTACGAACAAGAGCTCTTAAGGGTTGACACCCGTGGCTTTGCCGAGCTTGGGGGCCGGCGCGTCAGAAAAGCTCCGCGGCCTAGATCTTCGTAGTTTTTGAAGAATTTTGAAGAGGAGAGCCCCCGGATTCCGTGTGCTCCAGAATGTGCAGCGACATCTCTGCCAGACCGTAGACCTTCTTTCGGGGGGAGATCCCGATCCAACACCAGCACAGGCACCCGTGCTGGACCCAGCCTTGCATTGGCAGAGCTGATTTGCTCATCTGCTCGGGCCATCGATATAATTAATCAGAGTAGCTGATACCTGCCTGGGCTATGCTGGGGAGCCCGGCAAGTAGGTCGTAGAAGCCCCACTACCATACGGAGAAAGCCGAAGACAAGAGCGTCAGTGACCCTGAGCTGTGGCTTCTGAGGCTCCCGTTGCCAAAGCAGAGGTCCGGCTCTCGGAAGATTTTAAGCAAGTCTGGGTTTGTGAAATGCAGCCTCCACGTGGCTACTCGCATTCCTTCAAAGAACTCCCTTTGTGACAGTCCCGGCTAGCAGAGCTCCGGAGCATGTGCTAGCTGGCAGTGGCAGGAGGCAGGCTTCGACATGCCTCTTTGTGCTGGAGTGTCTCTTAGGTCTCAGACCTCCTGGGCGGCCTAGATCTGGGGCAGAGCGAGGACCTTCCTTCCTGCGTTGAGCTCTCCTTCCGTCCCCCTTCCATTCGTCATCAAGCTGGGGGGGGTGGGGGGCAAAATAAACTAAA